GGGGTTTCTTTTGTTTTGTTTTGCTCTCAAATCTTTACTCTGGGACTTCATTCTGTCTTCTTGCCAAGTTATAGCCCTTGAATGAGTCAAACCACTCTTGTTACAATAAAACCTTGGGGAATAAATCTCAAATGACCAACACTGAGGAAAACAATATTATAATTCTTGCTCTTATTCCTGGAAAAACAGTGCTGTGGAAATTTTGTGTGGACTTTACTAACTGCAGAGTTGATGAGGCACCCGAGAGTCAGCAAGAAAGAGAAAGACGTCACGCATGAAATTTAGGTGAGACTTGTTTTACTGAGAACGTAAAATGATTATACAAAGACCCTGTAACCAATTCAATTAAATAGATATAAATTCTAGTAAATTAGGTGAGCAATATAAGTCAATCACAGTTTACTGATGAACTCCAATTAATCTATGAAAATGGCAGACCTCAATTAAAACAGTATTGGCAGCACTTTGGCAGGCCGAGGCCGAGGAGTTCGAGACCAGCGTGGCCAACATGATAAAATGCCATCTCTACTAAAAGTACAAAAATTAGTCAGTGTGATGGTAGGTGCCTTTAATCCCCGCTACTCAGGAGGCAGAGGCAGGAGAATCACTTGAGCCAAGGAGGCAGAGGTTGCAGTGAGCCAAGATCGTACCACTGCACTCCAGCCTGGGTGACAGAGTGAGACCCCATCTCAAAACAAAACAAAACAAGACAAAACAAATAGCATTGGTCAATAATAGACTCAATAATAATATTAATACTGACTTAGATTGTATTTATTATGCTAAAAACAATAATGACAATATGTGCATTGCACTTACATTGTACAAAACATAATATTATTAACAACGGAAATACTTACATTGTGCTTATTTACCAAGAGATCTCCAAAGTACTTTCATCTGTGAAGTGCTTTAGCCCTCACAATGAAGCACATGCTCTTAATGCTTACATTTGATAGGTCAGACTAATAAAATATAAAAAGAATGAGGCATTTGTCCAAGCAAGTACAAGTGTTTGAACCCAGGGCTGCTGGCCTCAGAGTTCTTGATGTTAACCGCTGTACTCCCCAGAGTTCTTGATGTTAACCATTATACTCCATTGACATTTTGTAGTATAGTGCCCATATCACTGTGTTTCTTTCACATGAGTAAAATGTGTTTCTACAACATCCTGTATCATGGTTATTTAAAAGTATGTAGATCAATATTTACATCTTTTAAGTTGAGGATCACTGATACAAATTTAAAATACAAGTGTATCATAAAAATAATAATGCTTTGATTTCATTTTGTAAGCGTAAAAAAACAAAATTTAAAAGTATGAACAGTTTATTCCGGTCTCTAATAAATAGGCAGAGTGGTGTGGGTTCTGGAGCCAAACGTTCTGGGCTCACATTGTGACTTCCCTGTTTATTAGTAGTATGAACTTGGATAAAGTCTCTGACTTTCTCAATCTTGTTTTTCCTATCTGTACAATGAAAGTAATTATAGGGAAACCTCATATGGTTTTCAGAAGAATCAAATGACCCAACGTTTTTATAATGGTTAGGCCCCTGCCTCGTATGGGAAATCTACTCAATCTGTCTCACTACCGAACATCACAAAGCACATTGCTCAACTCTTTTATTGGGCTATTGGCAGATTAGAAGCTAGAAATGCATTTCCAGATTTAGAGTTCAGGGAACACTCTAATATTACATTGATTTTCACACCATTATATCCTCAAATATTCTTTCATTTATAAGTTGGTATTTGCTGATAGTATTAATCCAAAGAAACACCGAAGTATTGTGACATCATGGTTAATGTTTCATTAGATTTTCCACCTTATCTCCACAGATATAACAAACAGATAGAGTAAGATATAATACAATGAAAAAAATTAATAGTATTAACAATGAATGAATCTTGGCAATCAGCTATTTCAAGGCTTCTGTCTCAAAAGATTTTATGCATATATTTCTCATCACAAAACTCGTTATTGACCTAATCAGAATTAGACGCCATGCTTGATGACTTGCTTTGTGCTACCTCTTAAGATAGTGGGATTCTAGTGAGTACACTAAATGTTTTGCACCAAGGGATAATGATCCAGCAAAAAATCTGAAACACATTAGCACACAGCATTGCCAGAGACACTGATCTTGACATGAGGGCTTGGATTAAAACAATGGCAAGTCAATGAGAGGGCAAGAGATTAGGCCCTGGAGTAAGGTAGAAAAACTCGGTTATTTTCTAGAGGGAAAACCTGGCACATTTCTTAATTTCCCTTGAAGAACTTACTAATATTAGCATGTGCTTGGGGCTTGGAGCTTCTGTGAGCATTAAATAAAATAAAGATCATTTAAATTTTTTAGATTGATTAGCCTATAGCAATTGTCCAATAAATGTTAGCTTTTTATCTCAGAATTAAATTTGTGCTATTTTATTTTCTGTCAGTTTATTAGATTGGTGCAAAAGTAATTGTGGTTTTTGCCAGTGTAATATTAGTTAATAATTGCCACAAATATTACAGTGCAACCACGAATACTCATATCAAAGCACCCAAAACTGGGACCATCGGTTAAATGAATGTTAAGTCCTCCAGTGTTCACAAAAAAGGAAAAATCAGGTACATAATTTTTCTGTGGTTGTTGCTGATACTTCCTTTCTTTTGTGAGATTCTGTTGCACTGGCTTTTCTAGGAAAATGAATGGCCTTTGGTGAGACGAGAACACGCATTGTTTCTCTGGGAGTCATTTGGTTTATACTACTCTAAAATTTGCCTCCCTCTAAGATAAAATAATACTATCTACACCATGTTTATTGGATCTCAAAAGTGCAGCAGCATGCACTTATGACCATAAACTGTAACTACTGTTTAACATAAAAATGACTTGCTTTGCTTCTCCTTAAACATGGAATGGCTTTGTGATTTGTTTGTTTCTACTTAGACTTTACTTTAGATCTTGGAATCTAGACTTCCAACAACATAAACTCTAATACTCAAAGTAAGGAATTGTGTTACACTTTGCCCGTTATGAAAAGCATGTGAAATCAGTTCCACTCATGAAATCAATTCCATTCATTGAGGAGTCATTTATTCATTCACCCAATACATTTATTTGAGTCTTGAATCTCAGCCAAGTGTTATTCTATTTGCTCAAGTTTGATCGGTGAAGTAAACAGCACAATCTTCTCTTGGAGCCTGGAGCTTACATAGAAACAATGTGCTCCCATATTTAGTTGGGCTAAATTATCAGAACACAAAGAAAGTCAAAAAATCATAGAAGTATGATTATAGCTTCATGAAATCCCAAAGATCTGGAGAATTGGAAGTTGTAATGATTTTTTAAAAAAAGTTTCTGATACTTTCTCACCGAGAAAGTAAATTAATTGAGAGTTATTGAATTAATGGTATAAATTTTATGAACCATGGTACATAAGAAAAGAGAACAAATTCATCTCCATTTTGCATTTATTCTGAATAAAAATGTCCATTTACTCTGTCTTTGAATCTTCCCAGGGTATGTTTATTTCCATTTTGTATAGAGTAAGAAACAGTATCAGGAAATTTCCAAATGACAAATTACCACACACATGCAAACACACACACATATACATGCACACATACAAACACATGCATTGCTCTATCCCATGCTTCCTGTTCCACAGATGCAAGTCACACCCCACAGTGGAATTCCAACTTCTTATAGTTCAAGTAGTCCTAAGGTAAACTGCCTAAATATATTACTGTTTTGTATATAATATTTAATAAATAATGGAATGTATGAGAGAGAGAGCTATTACAGGTAAAAAGAAATAAAAATAGGTTGATAATCACTGATTTAGAAAGAGGCCACATCAGTGATTACAATAAAAAGGTCTAATTTGTATCACAAACCTAGTACATACTGTTAGATTTCTTTCACCTTATAATATAACCAAAATTTCATAAATCTATTCAAAATATATCAAACATAGTATGGTAGGATAAAAAGTGCCCTTCCAAGATGTCCATCTGGTAAATTATGAAGCCTGTGGATATATTACCTTACATGGTAAAAGGAAATTTGCAGATGTGAATATTAAAAATGTTGAGATGAGATACCATCCGGGTTTATCTGGAAGGTCCCAATGTCATCACTAAGTTCCTTCTAAGAGGGAAGTACGATGGTTGGGTACAGGAGATGTAAGACCAGAAGCAGAGGTTGGAGAGAAGATGCTGTGCTGCTGTCTCAAAAGCAGAAAAAGGGGCCATGGACCATTGAAAAAAGGTGGACTTTAGAAGCTGGCAAAGGAAAGCAAACACATTCTTCTCTAGAGCCTGCAAAAGAAACATGGGCATGCTAACACATTATAGGTCTTTAAAACTTACTCTCCACTTTTGTCCTCTGGAACTGTAAATTAAATAATTCCTATTGCTTAAAGCCATTAAATCTAAGATAGTTTGTTTTAGTAGTACCAGGAAACTGATAGAAATGTGACCAAAAATTCTTAGTTAATTGATTTTACACACATAATCAACTCCACTTGCCAGCATCTCCCTCAGGCCAGATTAACAATTCTTGAAAAGAAAAACTAACTAAATAATTAAGTCTCAGGTGTCGTCATGTCGTTCTGATCTTATTTTGAGACCTCTTTAAATTAAAAAAAAAAAAAGCTAATGATGTGGAGTAAAAAAAAAATTACTCATAGCACCTGAGTATTTTGAGATTAGAGTTGAATTATATGGCGCCATATTTATAGATGCAGACTATTTCTACATAAATGATTATTTATTTTCCATTTCTTTCTCTTACAGCTGAACTTTTCTCTTTACACGAAATACAAAACATAGTAGACCAAGACATTATTGCATTAAGTAATTTTTGCCTTGGCTTACAACTGTTTTCCTTCTTCTTCCTCCTCCTCTCCCATCTCTCTCTCTCTTTTTCTCTTTCTCTCTCCCTCCCTCTCTCTTTTTCTCTTTCTCTCTCCCTCCCTCTCTCTCTCATTCTCTTTCTCTCTGCAGTTACACAATGGTGAATTTTACACATGTCTCAGAGTTTGTTCTACTTGGATTCCAAGGGGGTCCCGGAATGCAGGCAATGCTATTTCTGATTTTTCTGATCCTCTATGGCATAGCTGTGGTGGGAAACCTTGGCATGATTGTAATTATCTGGGTAGATGCACACCTCCACACCCCAATGTATGCCTTCCTGCAAAGCCTTTCATTGTTGGACATCTGCTATTCTTCCACAATTGCACCCAGGGCTCTGGTGAACTCCGTGCAAGAGGACCACACGGTTTCCTTTGGCGGGTGTGCTGCTCAGTTCTTTTTCCTGTCTCTCTTTGGTACCACGGAGGCTTTCCTCCTGGCTGCCATGGCCTATGACCGCTTCACCGCCATCTGCAACCCTCTTCTGTACTCTGTGAGCATGTCTCACCGGGTCTGTGTGTTGTTCATATCAGGATCCTACTTGTGGGGTGTAGTCAATGCTGTTGCTCAAACAACCATGACCTTCAGGTTGCCTTTCTGTGGGTCCAATGAGATCAACGACTTTTTCTGTGATGTCCCCCCACTCTTGTCCCTCTCATGTTCGTCTACGTTTATAAACCAACTGGTTCTTCTTGGTTTATGTGGCTCCATTATTGTCAGTACCTTCTTGATTGTCCTGGTCTCATACATTTGCATCGTCTCAACAATTCTGAGGATCCCGACCACGCAGGGACGCCAGAAAGCCTTCTCCACGTGCACCTCCCACCTGACAGGAGTGTGCTTGTTTTTTGGTACCGTTTTCTTCATGTATGCACAACCCAGTGCCATCATCTTCATGGAGCAAAGTAAAATAGTGTCCGTATTCTACACTGTCGTCATCCCCATGCTGAACCCCCTGATCTACAGCCTGAGGAACAAAGAGGTCAAGCAGGCTGTGAGACGGAGCATGCGGAAGCTGTCTTTGTGATCTCCATGGACCTCCTTAGTCATCCTGGACCTCACCCCAAAGCTCTGCTGCCCGTGGAGGCTATGTCTTGGAATATGGCATTCCAGGGCTTCTTAATGTCTTTCTTGAAGTCTGTGATCCAGAAGACCAGGGGTATTTTAATTGTCTTTATATGTTTAACGATAAACTAAATCAAGGCTTATGAGGAATAAAATGCAGACTGGCGGAAGAGGTGACTGAATAGACGGGTATACATGGCTTTTTTGTCTCACATATTACATAGCATCTTGGTCTGACTCCATCAGAAAACAATTATGTAAAAATTGTATAGTTTATTTAGAAAATAAATAAAATGCTTATCTTGGATGTAGCTTGCCAAGTACAAATATGGATCCTACACAAAGGAAAAGAAAAATAAAATGCTTTAATATTTTACCTAAAACATTTAGAAATATATAAATTAGTAATTAGTATTTTTCATGTTAAAAATATATAACAAATTAGAAAAATATTATTAAATTCTATTTTAAATAGCTTTTATGGAGGTATAATTGACACACAAGAAATTCACATAAAGTGTATAATTTGTTATGTTTTGACTTATGTAAACACTGGTGCGACCATTCCCACAATCAAGATAATGAACATATTATTATGCCAAGTCACACCAAATGGTTCCTTAGTTCTTTCCTAATGCTTCCCTCACTTCAGCCATGAAACAACCCTCCTCCCAGGAAATAACTGATCTGTTTTCTACCACTATAGATTAGTGCATATTTCACCTAAATTGAATTATAAGCCATGTAATCTTGGTGGGGGGGAAATTAGACTTGGAAGGGGTGTAGCTTATTTTACTCAGCATAATTAGTCTGAGATTTATACAACTTGTTTCATACCTCAATTGTTTGTCATGTTTATTACTGGAAAATATTCCATTGTGAGAATATACTACAATTTGTTTATTGATTTACTTGTTCATAAACATTTGAGCTGTTTCTAGTTTTTGGCTGTTACAAATACAGTTGTTGGGCTGAGAACGGTGGCTTATGTCTGTAATCCTAGGCATGATGGAAAGGAAAATCTGTAGAAGCAAATACAGAAATAAATATCATGACATCTTTCTGCTTTTATCCAATATTAACTTATTAAGCATCTTCTGGACACGCTATTTGAGGAGAAGCATGAATGAATAAAACTCATATTTCACTTTAAGAATATCACAGTACAGCTGGAGAATTTACTTTCATAAACACAACATCTCAAGATTTACACTTGGAACTCATCACAGTAAAATCAGAGTAATAAACGTACGTTGAAACATTAATGCATCAAGGTCTTAACTGCCTGGATGCAGACACAATATTTTAATTATGAAAATTTCACTTTTAGTAGAGGAATGAAAAACATGGAAACTCTAAAAAAAAGTAACAATTAATGAATGAACTTATTTAATTGTTTGAGCAAATATAATTTTCCAAGCCCTAAACTGTTGCGATACCAAACTGAATAAACTTTTTTCCTCAGAAAGCTCAAGTATAGTAAATCATTGTTAGAAATGTAGTGTTATTAGTGCTGACATAGGATAAGTTTATATGTATAGTACCATGCAAATTCAAACTGTGTTCAAGTATTGAGAACAGGGGTCAAGGTGGCTTCACAGAAGGGGTGGCACCTCTGTCATAGTTTATTAACATCTGTATGTTCCCACTCCTTACGGATTTCTTTATCTTTTTAAGGGTTCAAAGTCTAGTAACTCTCATTCCTCGCACAGCATTTTAGAGATTAAAAGCTTCCAATTACCTTGAATATAAAAATATGTGCTTCTGCCATCATAGACATATAATGCTTAATGCTTTCGTGTACTGAAACCAATTCAAAGAAATACAAGAGAAGAAAAAAAGAGAAAAACAGAGAGAGAGAGAGAGAAATTTCAGCTTCCACTGAGCAAGTGAGATTCTAAAAAGATGGAATCTTTGAGTCTCAAGCTAGGACTCAATATTCTCAAACATAGTTAGATAGTTGGTACCTCCTTTTCTTCTTGGATAGGATATATTAATAAGATGTCTTTATCCTGACTTATCCATGAAGGAAGAATTAACAAGTAAGATGGGGGTGCTCGTATTAACTTACCGGACTTAGTACACCAGCTATGCGATGTGAGTGCTGTTGCCCACTACAGCATCATGATTAGCAGTTCCCTGACACAGGTGATCAAATTTTATATTTTGAATTAATCATTTGGGTGTCCTCTTTTGTGAAGTGATTGTTTAAACCATTTGCCCATTTTGGCTGGATTGACAGTCTTTTCCACTTTTTTAAACGTATACTTTATATATGCTGGATGTAGGTTTGTTGGCGAGATGTATACATGACAAATATCTTCTTACAGTTTTGTGTCACGCGTTTTCAAAATTCTTTCAACAAAATTATTAATTCTTCTGATGAATTCTGATAAGTTTAAGAAGTCATTAAATTTAATGCAATGCTTATTTCTTGATTTATTCCTTTTATCTATTTTATTATCCCAGTACATGTAACTTACAGTCATGATTTGGCTTACTACAATTAAAAAGAATTTCAAAAAAAAGTAGTCACACTTTTTTTTCTTTACAAATATCTTGCTTGTCTGGCCAATTAATATTCTACAGACACATAATATTTGCTTCTTGGCCTCATAAACCTCATCAATACCATTGACTGGTATTTTCGTGCAAATTTTGGATAACTGATAATAGCTTTATGACATTGAAAAATTCTATTCATGAACACAGTATATAATCCTATTTAATTATGTTTGTTCATTGTTCATTATATTTTTCACATGTTTATATATTCTGCCAACAAATAATATTATTTTTGATGCATTATCAAATGGGATATTGAAAAACATATCTCAAACTTGATAGTGGTATATGAACTTGCATGGCTTCATGTATTTATCTCAAGGATTCTCACTAACTTTCTAACTTCTCTTAATATCTAAAATCGATATTCATAAATTATTATAATTATTGACAACAATAACCCAAGTCTACTAAATCATAATAGAAGAAATTCTTCTTAGCCATCTTATTTTATTTCAATGTAATTAATATTGATCTATTAACTAGATGGAAGAGAAAATTTATTTCACCCTAGTGTCCAGGGGTGACTTTTTTCTTGAATGGTACTTTGTTGAATATTTTTCTATAGTGAGATAATTTTAGCATTTTATCATGTGTTATTGTGTTGATCTGTTATAATAGGTTTCATTACATTGATGCAAATTTGCACTACTGGAGTAATTCGAATGTGGTCATGATTGTTTATTGATGTACTGTTTTATTTGTTGTACTGAAACCTATGTCTCCTGTAAGGATTGGCTTGTCACTCTTTTTCTTCTAATGCCATTGTGTGGTTTTGGTGTGAAGCTACATCTAAATATCTAAAATATGTTAAATCATATTTCTACTTTCCCCTGAAGACTTTGCATGCGTTAAAAACACATATATTGCTTAAATATTGAGTACAATTCACCTTTGCAAGTACTCATGCTGGATTTTTTGTTCTTTTTTAAAAAAATTGATTTAGAGCATGCAAGTGCAGTTTTGTTACACTGATATATTGCACAGTAGTAAAGTCTGAGTTTTTATAACTTACCTATCACTCAAATAATGAACGCTATACCCAATAGGTAACTTTCCAATCCCCTCTTCCACACCAACTTCCCCACTTTTGGAGTCTCCAATGTCTATTATTCTCTTCTGTATGCTGGATATTTTCTTTATGGAAATATTTTCTCATCCCTGATTCAGTTTCTATAGTATTGTAGGATAATTTGGGTTTTACATTTCTTCCTGAGTCAGTTCCATACAATTTAACTCATTTAAAAATATTTTCATACCAGGCATGATGGTGAGTGTCTGTAATGCCAGCTACTTAAGAGGCTGAGGCCTTGAGTTCACTTGAATTCAGGGGTTTAGGCTATAGTGCGCCATGATCACTCCTGTGAAAAGCCACTTTGCACTGTAGCCTGGGCAACGTAGCAACAACTATGTTGCTAAAAAAATTAAAATGAGCCAACAAAACTGTTTAAAAGTATTTCTATTTCATATAAGTCTGCTATTCACTAATATGCAATAATAGTTTCAGAATGTTTTAATCTTTTAAAAATGTATGTGACATTATAATATAATTTTGTGACATGACATTATGTAGATGATAATATATAAATTATATTATTATAAATATAATTTATATCATTAATAAATATGTTACACATATAATTTTCAAATATTTTATCCCATTTATCATGGATTGTCTTTTTGATGGCATACTTTTATTATGGTAGGAAAATGATGTAGCATTAAATTAACCATCTGAACCATTTTGAAGAGTACAGTACAGTAATGTTAAGTATATTTGTATCGTTGAACAACAGATCTCTGGAAAGTTTTCATCTTGCAACACTGAAACTCTGTACCCATCAAACACCAATTTCCTGACTCTCATCCCCTCAGAACTTGGTAACCACCTTTCCACTTCCTATTTCTGTGATCTTGACTACTCTAGACACTTCATGTAAAGGGAATTACACAGTATTTGGCCTTTTGTGTTGTAGCTGGCTTATTTTGTTTAGTATAAAGTTTTTGAGCTTCCTCTATGTTGTAATATGTGACATGATTTCCTCCTCTTTCTCACTTACTTGCTCTCATTCTGTCACTGTAGGACTGAAGGGCACAATACTTACTCAAAACACTACAATGTACTAAAACGTTCCTAACAACATTCCTAAAATTTCCAGATTCACTGAAAATATATAAAGAAACAACATGATGATACAACATTTCCCTGTCAAATTTCCCTGTCAATAAGAAAGACGAACAAGAAACAACAGATGATAACTTAGCCAACTGTGGTACACCTGCATTATAAATGTGGCCAGTTGTTCAGTCTGCAATAAATCTTCACTGTCTTATGGCATAATCTTGATAGTTCCATAGTTTTGGGTCTATCACTTGCAGTACATTGATTTTAGGGAT